TAGAGCACAAGAGCGCAGGGCCAGGTACCTGGTCTCCATGAGGGGGCAGGGAGCACACCTCCCGCTCCCCCGCCTCTCCCCTCCTCTACTCTCTGGCTTTGGAGGCGCTCCCCCACTCCCATGCTGCATCTTCAGCCATGGGAGGCAGCATCCTGTTACATGCCGAGAACTCTGAACTCATTTGGGAGGTCCATATCCCTTCTCGCTCTAGCTCGCTGGCCTGGGTACTCCCACCCCACCCCGTCTGCAGTGGGGCCCCTGGGCAGGACCGTAGGGTTTAGGGTAGTAACCCTTCTTGGACCTATGGAGAGTTAAGCTGAGAGAGCAGGCCGTGATGGGTGGGCTGTGCCTGGGGAACAGGGATCTTGGGCAGGGGTCTCTCTGTGTGCTGGAAGTTAGCAGGGTGACAGGTGAGGTTCTCTAGGCTTCACCTGGCAGCAGAGGCAAGAAAGGGGGTGTACAGACCAACACTCCCCCCCCAACCTCCCACCTCTTCCTGCCACTGTGCACCCTGGAAGGAGAGACACAGGAAAGACTTCCTTCTGAGGGTGCTGAGGTCTTCGGGAGGCCTGAAGGGACAGCCCCAGCCTTTGGGAATCAGAAGGGAACCCCCACAGCAGGAGACAAAGCAGAGCAGCCTGGGGTGGTCACCTCACCTCCTGGCCACCCCATGCACCCAGACCTCCACTGTCCTCTCCTTTCAGCTCCTTGGAGCAGCAGTGTTGACTCTCAGTAGCTCTCAGCCAGCTCCCTCCCCCAAATCCCCACAGCCAGCAGTCCCCAGGGCCAGGTGACAAGCTCCCTCTGTCAGCACTGGGGCAGGAAGACAGCAGGGGCCTAGGGTTTGCCTGGTAGAACTGGCACCTGCCCCTGCCAGCTGCATCTGTCCTGCTCCGGTGCTGCCCTGGGTGTGGAGGAGGGGTTGCACCTGTGACCCTGGGGGACCCGAGCTCCCTGCACCTACAGGCCAGCAGGAGCTGGGGCCCCTCTGTGTGGCCATGCACCAGAGACGATGGATCTTCTCTGCCTCTCCTTGCCCTGGGCAGGTGTCACACTGGGGTTGGAGATATCCAGGCTTGCATTCTATGCTAGAACAAGAACAGAGAAGGCAGCTTCTTTGGCTGCCACGGTGTGGGCAGGGCACCCCACACTCCTGCTTGTTACCTGGGGTTGATGGGGACAGGCCCACCCGTGCTCAGTGACCTGGTCCGTGGCGCCTCCAAGGCTTGCAGGCGGCCGTGTTTCACACTGCCAAGAGGGTGCTGGGTGCTCTCACAGCTGTGCTCTGCCCCCTCCCTGATGCTAACACGGCTTCCCTGTGACTCAGCCTCTGCCACTTTGTTCCCTGCAGTCAGCTAAGCTGTGTGTGTCATGGCAGGCAGTTCTGCTTGCCCTGAACCTCAAGAGGTCAGCTGGGCCCCAGTCCTGTTGTTAAGGATGGGAACTGAAACCCCAAAAGACAGGGACTGGCCTCTGCCAGTTAGCCAGCCACAGCTCTTTTCATAAGCAGGGTCCAGGACCTGGACAGCAAGTGGCAGGAGGGTGGCCATGAAGGAAAATGCCAGCATGTTTTTCAGGGTTGGGGGAGGAGCCTGGAAACTGCTCCCTCTCCTTGGTGAAAGTGGCTCTTTCTAGGCACCCCTGCCCGACCAACCCCTCTGACCCCTCCCTGTTGCTCCCCCTTGGGTGGGTACGCAGGAGTTCTCTCCACCTGCAGCAGCCGAGGACCCCCAGGAGCTCCACGGGGACAAACACACAGCCAGGGCAGACAGGAACCCTGGCCTCCACCGGCTCACTCCAGCTTACTCCTGCAAACTGCTTCAAGTTCACGGTTTCCTATCCCTTGGGGAAGGGGGATCCCAGAGGAGGCTTCTCCCCCTTCCTGTGTCAGTCCCAGACAGACAACAGGTACCTGCCAGCTCTCGGCTTTCACTTTGCCCTTCCTTCAGGAGTGTGGCCCCCACCACACTCTGCTTCCCCACCAGGTTCAAGCATGTCCCCCGACCCCCACCCCGCAATCTGCCTGCCATGAATGGAGCTGTGGTTTTAAGAGCAGGCCGGCTTACTTAAGCCTCTGAACAGTAGACCAAGGAGCAGGGAAGCTTCTATAATCAGCTCTTTACACTGTCTTTCCAGTGACTCTGAAGCAAGTCCAATGTTCTGGAACTCAGTTTCATTGTCTGTTAAAGGGACCGTGTAGGCCAGGCCCTGTCCCAGGATAGTCACAGCCCGAGGAGGGCTGACCAGAGCCAGAGCACAGGGCTGGGAAGGGAGTGTTGGTTCTGATGTTTGCGAAGAGGTCCACAGGCCTGGGTGTGCTCTAGGCAGGGTCTGGCCCTCCATATTCCCTGCCCAAGAGCCCTGGCTGAGCCAGAGCAAGGCAGCTCCTAAGGGGACAGCTGGGGAGGGAGGTTGGGTCAGGCGGGACAGGCCATGGCAGGCCCAGCAGCCTGGCTCAGGGGACACAATTAGCCTCGACATCCAGGCGGCCCGTGAGGCCAGCAGCTGTATATCATGGAAGTTTAATCGTCCACCTGACAGATTTTTGTCCCCTCTCTCAGGCCACATCCCTAGTCCATCTGTCAGAGATGGCACTGAGATTTCAAAATACTCCTGTCCCCTTGCTGGCACGCCTGGCAGCTTTCCTTGGCATGGCTGGGGACAGCACTTCTTCATGCCTGACTGAGGCTCCTGCCTGGGTAACTGGGCATTCCTCCCTCCCTCCCCCCCACAACATTTACACCTGGAACCTCCTTCCTACTGGGAATGTCAGGGAGGCTTGTAAAGGCAGGAGGTGAGAGGGTGCAGAACACTGGGGGGCAGCTCCCTGAGGCACCAGAAGCCCTTCTTGCAGTAATCTCCTTCTGGGGTGAGGAGCTGCACCCCAGAACCCTGATATGGCTCAGAAGTGGAAGCAGCCTAGCTGCCTCTTACGTGGAGAAGTGGACTGTGCCCTGCTGGGTCCCCCTTCCCACTGGATGCTCGCTGTGCCACCTGCAGGCTACTTCTGATACTGTAACCTAGCTTCTCCATCAAGCATGACAGGTGGGGGACCCTCAGTCCTCCCGGGGACCTGTGATCACACAACCTGCCCGCCCTCCGTGTGTTAATGTGCCACAGCTGCCGTGACACAGTGCTCAAAACATTTATCACCTTCTGGTTCTAGATGTTAGAATTTGAGCTCAAGGGTGGATCCTTCTTTTATTTATTTAATTTTTTTTTTCATTTTTTATTTGAAAGGCGCACACACAGACAGACCCACAGGTCTTCCTTCCACTGGTTCCCTTCCCAAATGTCTGTAACAGCCAGAGCTGGGCCAAGCCAAAGCTGGAAGCCTGAAACTCAATCCAGGTTTCTCACGTGGTGACAGGGGCCCAAGTCCTTGAGCTGTCGTCCGCTGCCTCCTGGGGTCAGCAGGAAGCTGGATGGGAGCTGAGGAGCAGGGACCTAACCAGGTGCACCAAGCTTGTGGGCTTAAACAGCAGAGACATCTGGCCTAGGTCAAGGAGTCAGCCAGCTTTTATTCTGAGGCCTCTTTCGCTCAGCTGTCCGTCCCCCATGTCTTCTCCCTGCCTTTTCCTGGACATGTACCCAAGCCTCCTCTTAGAAGGACACAGGTCATACAAATAGGGACCACCCTTATGACTTTAACTTACTGTCCTCTTTTTCTTTAAATATTTATTTTTATCAGAAAGTTAGATTTACAGAGAGAAGGAGAGACAGATCTCCCATCCGCTGTTTCACTCCCCCAAATGGCTGCAACAGCCAGAGCTGAACCAATCTGAAGCCAATAGCCAGGAACTTCTTCCGGGTCTCCCATGTGAGTGCAGGGGCCCAAGGACTTGAGCCATCCTCCACTGCTTTCTCAGGCCATAAGCAGGGAACTGGATAGGAAGTGGAGTAGCCAGGACCCACACCAGTACCCATATGGGATGATGGTGCTTACAAGCAGAGGATTAACCAATTGAGCCATTGCACCAGCTCCTAACTTAATTTCCTCTTAAAGGCCCTGTCTCTGTATGCAGTCGCATTCTGATATAGTGCCTGCATGTGATATATTCTTTAAAGATTTATTTATTTAAGCCAGTGTTCTGGCATAGTGGATAAAGCTGCCACCTACAATGTCAGCATCCCACATGGACGCTAGTTCGAAGCCCAACTGCTCCACTTCCAATCCAGCTCCCTGTTTAAGGCCTGGGAAAAGCAACACAGGATGGCCCACGTGCTAGGGGAGACCTGGAGGAGGCTTCTGGTGCCTGACTCAGTCCTGATCCTTACAGTCATTTGGGGAGTGAAGTAATGAGTGAAGTATCTCACTCTGTCACTGAAGCATTGCAGGTGGTGGCCTGACCTGCCACTCGAGGCCAGCCCCTTCAGCAGCTGACTTTTAGAGGCTACATCCGGTGCAGGACTGGAAATGGGCCCCATCACAGCTCCCTTAGGCCCTCACCTAGGGGCCATGCCAGTCTTGGGGGAAACACACGGGCTGTGCTTGAGATGCTCCCACCTGACAGAGGCCAGAAAGGAGTAGAGATGGATGTGGTGTGGTTGGAGGAAGGCAGATGGACAGAGGCAGACAGATCAGGGAGCAGCTCAGCGGAGGAGCTTGGAGGGAACAGACTGGGAGCCTGGTTGGATGATGGTGGGTAAAGGGTGCACACATTGTTTTCAGCAGGCCCAGGTCTCTCCCTGAACACCATGTATGATGTTCTGGGTGGCCAGAGCAGCAAAGGGGAGCTTATCCCACTGAGGCTACCTGCGAGTGTCACCAACTTGTGGTCCAGGGTGCAGGTCCAGGTCTAGGCAGAGGCTGCTATGTTTCCAGAGCATGCACCCACATGCCTACTTGTCATGGGATTGTCAGCATCTACTGCTTCCCAAGACCCTAGGGGCCTTGCCATTGTGTGACCCTCGGTGGCCATCTTATCACCAGGCCCAGCAAGGCCATCCCTGAGCTCTGCCCTGGGCTTCTTCGCTTCCTGTATGTTTATGTGTCCCCACCACCCCAAGCATCCCACCCTTTAACCCTGCTCTGCCTGAAACAGAACCTATGGTGCACCCTACACGCTCCTTGAGCTGGGGGCCCTCAAAGACCAGTATGTTTCAGCAAGGTCACCCAGATGCTGGCATCTCCAGGCCTTAAGCCCCACCTGCTGCCACAGGGCATTCAGCCTGTCCTGGTTTTTCTCTCTCTGCTCAGGTATGAAGCGGCCACTGAGCCCATCGCCCCCTGGGGAAAAGGAGCCCCCCACAGCTGGTGTGGCAGAGTGCCCCCCAAGGCCCCCAGAGGCACCAAGGCCCAAGCGGGAGCGGAAGCGGTCATCATACACGCTCTGCGATGTGTGCAACATTCAGCTGAACTCTGCGGCGCAAGCGCAGGTGCACTGTGGGGGGCGTGCCCACCAGAGGCGACTTCGGCAGCTCAGCCTGGGCAAAAGCTGCCCCTCGGGACCAGGTCAGTGTGTGGCAGTGCGGCTCTCGCATGGTGCAGGCCCCTCCCCTCCACCGAGTAGCACCCCCTCCACCGAGTAGCACCCCTTCCACCAAGTGGCACCCTCCATCTAGGTCCCTTGGAATGGTTCTGTGCATGTATTCCTCTCTGTGGAGTTGTGGGATCTAGCTGCCCTCTGCAGGGTCTCTGGATTCCTTGAGGGCATCAAGTTGGTTTTTAATATCTGGATGATTATGGGGTCTCTGAGGTTCTTGCTGATTCTGGGGGCTCTTCCTATGGGCGTCTTCTGGGAGCAGGACCCTGAAGTAGCACTTCCCCAGTCTGGTTCCCTGACAGTCTGGTAGCAAGAGCTTGCCTGTAAGGGAGTCCCAGGCTCCTGCTATGGCCTCTCATGGCCCCAGGTCAGCGAGGAGGTGCCCTACAGGGGGGCAGCCCTCCCTTCCTGTGGCCACTGGAATCCTGGCCAGGATTTTTGCCTGTCCCTGACCAGGGTGACTTTGTCAAGGTCTAGCTTTGAGCAGCTAGGGGCAGCTGGCTGCTGGGCTGCTTCCTAGGAGAAATGGGTGGCTGCCTCTGTGACAGTGATTCTGGCTGACAGGCATGTAGGAGCCACAGCGAAGCAGAGAGCAGCGCAGGCCTCTGGCTCACAGGGGAGATGGAAGGGATGTTGGGAATTTGGCCTGTTCAAGGCAGGAGCCGGGTGAGACGACACACCTCACAGCCCAGGCTGGCAGCTCTGCCCGAGGCGGCCCTGGACTCACACACCGTCTTGAGGGTTGCCTACTTTTTTTTTTTTTTTTTTTTCAAAGATTTATTTTTATTATTTTTTTATTGGAAAGGCGGATATACAGAGAGGAGAGACAGAGAGGAAGATCTTCCGTCCGATGATTCACTCCCCAAGTGAGCGCAACGGGTCGATACTATGCCGATCTGAAGCCAGGAGCCTCTTCTGGGTCTCCCACGCGGGCGCAGGTTCCCAAAGCTTTGGGCCATCCTCGACTGCTTTCCCAGGCCACAGGCAGGGAGCTGGAAGGGAAGCGGGGCTGCCGGGATTAGAACCGGCGCCCATATGGGATCCCGGGCGTGCGAGGTGAGGACCTTTAACCACTTGCGCCACCGCGCCGGGCCCTACTTTTTTTTTTAAATTAATTTATTTATAAAGTTTAATTTACTCAGAAGGCAGGCAGATCACCCATCTACTTTTCAGCACTCTCAAATACTAGCAATGGCTGGGGCTGGGCCAAAGCAAAGCTAACAGCCCAGACTCAATCTACTGCCACGTGAATGGAAGGGACCCAACTATTTTAAAAACACACTTACACATACACCTACACACAGAGATCTTCCATTTACTGGTTCTTTCCAGATAGCCACAATGGCAGGAGTTGATCCAGGCTGAAGCCAGAAGATTCTTCCAGGTCTCCTGTGTGGGTGCAGGGACCCAAGCACTTGGGCCATTCTCTGATGTTTTCTTAGGTGCATTAGCAGGGAACAGGACTGGAAGTGGAGCAGACAGGACTCGAAGCCCAGCATCCATATGGAATGCCAGCATCGCAGTCGGCAGGCTTACTTGCTGTGCCACGGTTCTGGCTCTGGGACCCAACTATTTGGGCCTCTTCCACCTGCTACCTCCCAGAAAGGTGGAGTTAGAGAGCAGAGCTGGGACTCTCACCCAGGCTCTCTGATGAGGTGCATTTTAGCCCTGAGCCAAACGCCCAGCCCTGCCACTTCTGGGGATGATCACAGGATGCCCACTGTGTCCCCTACACCTGCTTCACACTTTCCTTGCTTGCCGGGGGCTGGAGACAAATGCCATCCTCTCACCCTCTGTTGCATGCTGGCATCTGCCTCTTGGAACTGAGCCAGACATGAAGAACTCAGGTACTGTACATGCCAGGGGCTCAGAGGCAAAAGGGCCACTACAGGGCGCACCAGGAGCGGCTCCTGAAGGAAGTGCATGCTGAGCTTGGAGCCCCAGGGTCAGCAAACAGAGATCACAGCACCAGTAAAGGCCAGAATCACTCCGGTGGCTGGGACCAAGTCCCCAATCCAGCACTGGGGGCTGGGGACTGAAGTGTGACTGAGCAAGAATGTATCTCAGGTAATGGCTGCTGCCAGAGAGAGAGAGTGTGTGTGTATTGGGAGGGGAGGGATGCCAGTCTCTCATTCGTTCAAATACTTACTAACAAGCTACCGGGTGCAAGCACTGTGTGGGAAATCCTGTTCAGCACAGGAAGGAGCCATCTCAGGCACGGCATGTGTTGGGGTCTTCTCTAAGAAGGCATCCGAGGGCCACGTGCAGGTGAAAGTGAGAGGAGGCGCAAATGAACACACTTGAGCTGCCTGCCCAGGGCAAGCTGCAGGAAGTGAGGCTGCTGGGAGTGGTGGGGCAGGAGGGTGTGGTGGAGTGGGAGAAGTGGGGTGAGGCTGGAGAGGGAAGAGTGGGTCCTAGAGAGCCAGTGCACGAGGGCCTGAACTTTCAGAGCAGCAGCGTGCTTGGTGTGGGGTGGCCTGGTGGAAGAGAACCAAAGCTACCAGCTGGGGAGAGGGGAGGGAGTGTGCAGCTGGTGGCTCGGACCATTGTCCCCAAAGTGCTGGGCATCATTGCAATACCTTGAGCATGAGTTGGTAGCAATTCTGGTTGTCCCAGCCTGGGTGAGACTTGAAGCACAGAGGGAAAGAATGTGGGTATGTGAGAGAAACACATTCCAGAAGGTTTGGGGGATGGAGGGGATGGAGGGAACCGTAAACCACTGTGGCTTAGGCCAGCTGCCTTGTGAGGAAAGAGATTCATGAGAGAAGAAGATGGGCAGTCAGCACTGGGTGAGAAGAGCTGACCTGTGACCAGGGATGTGGCCCCAGCCCTTGTCTCCCTGGGCAGTGGGCCTTCCTGGTAAAGCCCCTCCCACTCCTGCTCCCATGCCAAGGTGGAGAAAAGGCTATGGTCCCCTGTGATGGGGACCCCCCCACTTCTCCTGGCTTCCTTCTTCCCAGAGCCCTCAATGCACCCTCAAGCCCCGCATTGGTTTGGGGGGACGAGGACACTGTCTTAGGGATCACTGGGAGACCTGATGTCAGGTCCTGCACTTCAGGGTGCTTGGTCCCCTCTGGGTAGTGCTTCCTTGGGTGGAGGGTGAACATGGCAACAGACCTCCCTGTCCACCCCTGCTGAGGGCAGGGGCCAGAGCTCAGGTGAGCAAAGGCTACACTAGGGCTCTGGCAGGGGCGCTGGCTGACCCAGGGCCACGGCCCCCCAGTGAGATCCCTTTCTCCATCTTTGAGAGCTGCAGGTAGGGGAAGCAATGACCTAGCAAGATGCCAACTGCTGGCCTCAAGGCGAGGAGAAGTGAGGCAAAACAATGCTCCCCGTTCAATAGAGTAGAGGCCCTGGGAATACCAAGGGGAACCATGGAGACCTTCCCTCCCTGCTCTGCTCCTGAGCATGCAGTGTTGGGCTCTGCCTGGCACCAAAGCCCAAGGGCTTGCTGGGAACTGTCATTCTGATTAGGGGCCTGTGGGGCTGAAGGCCTCCACAGTGACAGGCTGTCACATGCAGCAGGGCGGGGACTCTCCCCTGTCCAGTCCCAGTGACTGTCTGTGGGAGGAAGACAGGGAGGTGGGCACTCTTGCTCTCTAAGAAGGCCTCCTAGAACCCAGTGCAAGGGGCTGTGAAAGTCTGGGAGGGCGAGGTTGTCAGCACTGGCCAGAGGCCTTCTTTGGCATCCACACCCACTTCCTTGCCTTCTCACTCCTATCCGTAAGTGAGCCTGAAATACATGGGACACCCCCTACCACTGCCCCTTCCGCAAACACTTCCTGCTGCCCCTGCCCACCTGCTCCTATCTGCCCTCCACACAGGAAACCCTTTCATTCTGTAGGAATGTGGCTGGAATCTCCTCCCAGGAGGTGTGGGCACCAGGCCCCTGCCCCCATAAAACTGAATTCAGTGACCCTAACTAACCCACACACCCACCCTTAAACAATCTTAAGTGGCTCTCCATCGTGTGCCAAGGCAGAAAGGGGCTGACTGCAACCTCAGATAAGGTAGTTGGGCCAGCACAGGACTTGGTAGGGGTGAATCACCCCCACCCCCACTGAGCTCTGGGCCTGCCCACTTGAGGGAGGTGCTGAGTTCCAGTCATGCAAACCGGGAGACCAGGGCTCAGCGACATTAAGGGCCACAGCCAAAGCCACACAGCTGGGTCCAGATCTGAGTTTCAGACTTCATTAAAAAGAGAAAAGAAAAAAATGATAGATTTCTATATTTGAAAGACAAAGTTAGCAAAAGAACGAGACCTTCTCTTCTCTGGTTTATTTCCCAACTGAGCCAGGTTCACGTCAGGAGCCATGAGTCCATCCAGGTCCTGGGTGGCAGGGGCCCAAGCACTTGGACCATGTTTTGCCGCCTGCCCAGACACATTAGTAGGCAACTGCATGGAAAACGGAGCAGCTGGGACTTGGCTCAGTGCTTGCAAGGAATGCTGGCACTGTAGGCAGCAGCCTAACCTGCCTGTAAACAGGCAGCAGCCATGTTTCCAACTCTAATCCCATCTCACAAGCTCCCACTCCCTGAAGAGAAGAGCATCTAGTAAAGGAGACTGAGCCACAATATACTTTTTTTTTTAAAGATTTATTTTTATTTGAAAGGCACAGAGAAAAGGTGAGATAGAAATTTTCTATCTGCTGGTTCACTCCCCAAAAGGCCACAATGGCCAGAGCTAGCTGATCCAAAGCCAGGAGCCAGGAGCTTCTTATGGGTCTCCCATGTGAGAACAGAGTCCCAAGGTTTTGGGCCGTCCTCAACTACTTTCCCAAGCCACAACCAGGGGGGCTGGATGGGACGTGGAATAACCAGGACACAGACTGGTGCCCATATGGGATGACTGTGCTTGAAGGGGGAGGATTAGCCAATTGAGTCACTGTGGTGGCCCCTGAGCCACAGCAGTTGAGAACGGGAGGAACACAGCCCAAAGTGACAGGATGGCTCCCAGTAAGATGGCTCT